GGGGGGGGGGGGGGGGGGGTTGAGGGGGAGACAGTGAGACTGTGAGAGAGAGAGAGAGAAAAAGAATTTGAAGAAGAGAGAGAGAGAAGAGTGGCGCGGGGTGTTGAAGTACACTTACTGGAGTTGGCTGTGTCTTTGTGTTTCGTTGTTATCTGCTGCTGCGGACCACAGATGCATTTAGCTACTTTGCTTTTGGTTGGTCAAATACAAAATTACTCCTAATTTTTATTTATTTATAACTATGTGATATTCGATATCAACTTACAACTAAAGGATGTGGTGTAGTGAACGTGACTGCTCATTCCTTAATCAGAGGTTTCAGATTCGAGTTCTGGGTATAAAAAAATCCTCGGTAGGGAGCGTTTCCCCCCGAATGGAGCCCTACACAGTGCGAATTCGGATATAATCACGTTCTAATGTGAGTACCGGACATCGAACGGGAAACAAAAAAAAAATATTCGATACCAACTTGTCCAACTACTTAAATCAGATTCAGACTTTATCAGTAATTTATTTATTTTCAAGATTCGAACTCGAAACGTTCAGAAATGAATTGTATTTGTGTTTATGCATGTTGATGTATTTTCTTTGTACCAATATTGTAACTTTAAATCTTAGTTCCGTGTGACTTGTAACATCAGTTCTTAGGGTAGCTTGTATTAAATTTTGTCTTCTTATTTTACTATTTATTTGATGATCTTTATTTGAATTGTGTAAAGTGTTAATTGGTGTGGCTAACAGATTTGGTTAGGCGCCGTCAAAGTTTCATTTATATTTATCCCATCACACTTTTTGAAGGTGAAATTACTCCTAATTCATTTTCATTAAACTCACACTTAAGACAATTTTGACACTAATATTTCATGTTCTTAATATTCCTCCCATTTTCTCAAGAAATGAATATTTTCTACAGTTCAAACACTATTTCTCTTGCATTCTTTTCATACCTAAAAACAAAAAGAAACACTGTATATTTTAAAATTTCAAACATCTAAAACAGAAATGAGGTCATGATTGCATTTGCGTATTCTTGTCGAAACACAAATTGGGCTTATCTTTAGCATTCCGTTGGTCTCATTTAATTTGAAGTTATTATTAATTTGAAAATTGAAATATCTTTTTCTTTTTTTACTTTTCAAATATTTTTTAAAACAACTAACGATATACTCCATGATTTACAGTACTTTAATATAATTTCTAAATGTAGTAGTTTCATTTTAAAAAAATTATGATTAGTATTTAAATTTATACTGAAAATTACACATTTTGACCCTTATATGTTGATATGGAAAAAGTAGTTGGTTGTATTTTTAATGGGATGGGACCTCTCACATAAATCAGCAAACTCAAACTTGCAACAAAAAAAGAGTCGATACCACTAACATACGTTATAAATTTCTCTAACACATATTTTTATGGAAAAATGTAAAGGTATTAAAATTAGCTAGGAAAGGTTTTTAAAAATCCCATAGCCGAATAGTAAAATTAAACGTACAATTTTCTTACCCTTCAATTCTACATATTTTTCTTAATTCTAAACTCTTATCGACGTAAAATTAAGAGTCAAATCATTAAGTAAAATTTCATATTTCCTAGCAAGGTCTTGTACTTTATGACTTAGTGATTCAAAGATTCTATTTTCTTAGTTTAGAAACAAATTATCCCAAATTATATTTCTGTTACTAGAATATTTTGTTATACGTCAGCATGTTTTGTCAAGCTTTACATATGATTAATATCATACGTATAATATTAGCTTATTCCAAAATTTAATAACCTGGAGTGACGTACAAATTTTTTGCAATATTGTATGCTTCAAATCTCACGTTTTTTTGCGAAAAATTCTTTAATACCTACTTTTAGTTTTTTCCCCTTTATAAAAGAAAGTGAGCTCATTATTGGCTAATCAGTCTTTTCTTTTTTCCAATCACTCACTTTGTATAATAAGTACCTTAAAATCCAACAAAAGATTCAACTTTTTTGCTACCTTTTCTGTCAATAATAATGCAATGCAATCAACTTATACCACTTACCATCAAATCAAACTTTTCCACTTATTCTCTTTGCTTTTATTATTTACAGAGCTCACTAATTATAACGACCTAAAACTTAAAGGATAAAGAATCATTTTGGGATGGTAAAGGAGAAAAGGAAACTTGGTTGAATTCTTTTCTAAAAGATGAATGAAATATTTGGTTCTTTCAAAAAGATGAATGGATTTTTTCCTTTATACAGATTCTCACCCTTCTTTTCCCCTTTAGTTAGGGCTCATGATAATGCAACTTGATATCCGAAACGTGTCACTATTTTCAGAAATTTGATCTGAAGAATTTTTTTTGAAGGTATTGTTGTTTGAACAATTTTTTTTTATTAGTTTAACACGAAAAACTCACGAAACTCAACAAAAAATAATTATATCCAATCACGCTTTTATTTCATGAAAACTTCTTATACAATTTTCATTTCAGAATACTTTTTTCAGAAATTAGAAAGATAAGGCTTTAGCACCTTTGATTTACAGCTTGTTTGGACGGTTGTTATGTATGTTTCATAATGTATAGTATTGTACTATATCGTTTTGATGTATACAATGTATAGATAAATTGTAACTTGCAATATTATAAAAACAAAGTAAAATATGAGGTAGAATTATATAAAAAGGTAGGATAAAGGATAAAATATAATTATTTAATAATAAAGAACGGCAAGATGAGAGAAAACAAAAAGGCAACGATGCGATCATATCAAATCGGTCGTTCCAAAAGTGATACTTTTCGTCGTTATGTAACGATATATTTAATGATACGATACAATAAAATTTAAAAAAATATTATATTTAAAGTAACAATAAGATACAGTTATATACACTACTAGAATTCCTGTAAAAAGCGACCAAAAAATAGCGACCAAATTTTGTCTATGGGAAAAAGCGACCAAAGTTGGTCGCTAAACTAGCAAAAATAATAAAATAAATTGTGGAAACCAAATAGCGACCAAGGTTGGTCGCTAAAGTAGTCAAAATATCGACTGGATTGGTCAGACTTGCTTGGGCAAACGTTTACTGAGATTAGCGACCAATATTGGTCGCTAAAGTGGGACCCGCTTACAAAATTTTAATAATTATATTATTATTTTGAAAAAATTATAAAATATAAATATATATAATATAAAATTGGCGACCAACGTTGGTCGCTACATAAAGGCAAGAAAGGTAGCGACCAAAACTGGGTCCCAGTTATTCAATTTTAATAATTATATTATTAATTTAATTATTATATGAAATATAATTAAATCTGATTTAAATTTAGCGACCAACTTTGGTCGCTAAACTAAATTCATGAATAAATAGCGACCATAATTGGTCACTATTCTGGTCAACAATGGTCAAAATTAAAAATCACTNTTTTGATATAGCGACCAATGTTGGTCGCTATTCTGGTAAAACGGTCAGAATTTAGCGACCAACTGTGATCGCTATTTTGGTCAAAATAGTCAACACATATTTGGTACCAAAAATAGCGACCAAAGTTGGTCGCTTTTTGTAAAAACAGAGTTAAAAACGGGTTTCCCCTCCCATTCTCTTATTTTCTTCAAAGAATTCCCCAAACCCTCTCTTCTCTCTC